TCCTGGAGTCCCGGGATCGAGTCCCGCATCGGGCTCCCTGCTCGGCAGGGAGTCTGCTTCTCCCTCTGACCCTCCTCCCTCTCATGCTCTCTGTCTCTCGTTCTCTCTGTCTCAAATAAATAAATAAAATCTTTAAAAAAAAAAAAAGAACTACGAAACTTCAAAACTTCCTGCAGAGATATAAAAGAAACCAAATAAATGGAAAATAATACAACATCTCTGGGTAGGAAAACTAAATATTGTGATATGAAGATAATCTCTTAATTTATATCTCATGCAATTCCAATGAAAATCTTAGTGATATGTTTTGGGGAACTTTAGAAATATAAACTGGCAAAAAAGCTTAAACTTTTGGGAAAAAAATAGAGGAATGCCCTACATGATTTTAAAACATACACTGTATAACCTTTAAATAATTTAAATGGTGCATGGATAGAACAAACAATGAAGGCAAATGGATCACCTAGAAATTGACTCACATATATGTAAAAATATGTATATTAAAACAAGGTGCATGAACTATCAATGAAAAATGGTTATTCAATCAAGTGGTGTTAGAAAAAAATGGGTAGGCTCTTGGGGAAAATTATCTATTTAGATCATTACCTGACCCCATCAAAAACTGTTAAAGACTGGTTAAAGATTTAAACATTTAAGTGAGTATCTGATCTTAGAAAGAGATTTAAACTTCCTAAACACAAATTCAATGGAAGAATTAACAGAGAAAAGGACTACTCACATAGAAATATACTACTTGCAGACATAAAACTACATACACATGTAACACATCTCTGTCAAAGAAAACAGAAAACAGTGAAAGAAAAAAAAACTGAGAAAATATTTTCCACCAATATGAGAAACAGAGGGCTGATGTTCCTGTGAAGAGCTTAAAAAAATGGGTAAAAGAAGTGAGTCGATGTTACAAAAGAGGTTTAATTAAGTCTAGAGGTTTAATAAAATATGAATAATAGCCAACCTCTGTTGCAATAAAAAGATATCATTTTTCAACAGTCTGGTGGTCATTTTTTAATAATAACACCAGTGCTGTCTCCACACGGGAGCAGCAAGACAGGTGCTCTTGTGTCTTTCTGCAAACCGTAGGACTGTTCCAGGAGGAAATTTGGAAAAAGCAAGAGCCTTAAACATGACTAGTTCATTCAGCCTGATAATTCCATTGCTAGGAATCTTCCCTAAAGAAATAAACTGAGTATCAGGTAAAGGGCTAGTATCCAAAATCTATAAAGAACTTACCAAACTCAA